TTTTTTTTTTTTTTTTTTTTTTGTACCGGGGATCCAACTCAGGTCCTTGTGCTTGCAAGGCAGGCCACCAAACCGCTGAGCTAAATCCCCGGCCCTCAGCATTAAACTTAATTTAAAATCATCTACACACACACACACAAACAATTACAGTTTCCTCCTGCTCGTTTGAACTGCATGCTCTGGATGAAAAGAGAGAAGAGGGTTAAGGGGCCTAGCAAGAAAGGCAGACAGAGCAGACCGGTTTGTACCTGAGTGGTAGAGCACATACTTGTCTTGCGGGAGCCCAAGCTTCCATCAAAGCACCGCGCACACACATAAAGAAGGACGAGTGAGGATTGCAACCTCAGATAAGGGACAAACTTTCACAAGGCTGAGGAAACTAAGCCTATTGAGGATGGGAAGACAGGTGGCAGGGAGGACTGGGATCCCAAGTTTCACAATCCTTGACTGGCACAGACAGAAACTGCACTTGGCAGAGAACGCTGAGCCTGAGGAGCAATCAGCTGCATAAGCGTCGGACACAAGCCCAGAATGCCTCTCTCATTCCTTTCAAACTGTGACTTTTTATGGACTAGGGAAGGTATTCCGCAGCCCCCCAGGTGCTATGCGGGAAGGGGGCAATGGATGGAATTAAAAAAAAACAAAGTTGTTCCGTGTCCTCCTTCCTTTCCTTGCGTCTCTCCTCGAGGCACCCTTGCGCAGCAAGGGTTTGGAGGCTCCGTTTGGGTAGGATTGGGACGTCCTCAGCTGTTCTGGGAGAGACCTGGCAGACGCTCCAACGGGGTGCGCCTAGCCCTAAACTAGACGAAGGCTGCCCTGGAGCCCGGGCGTAGTTCTGCGCCTGCGCACGTTTGGGACGGGCGCCACCTAATGACGCATTACGCAGGCGCGGGCCAGTGGCCGGTTAGAGTCTTGATGGAGTCGGAGTTGCTCCTTCAGAGGGTGTCGGCGCTGCAGGTTCTTTGCGGGACGGGAGGGTGGTGCGCCAGGGAGGTGGGGTCTCCGTCTGGGACGACAGCGTCACGATCAGTCTCCTATCCTTGTACCAAACTCTGGAGGTGCCAGCATAGCCCCACCACAGTGAAGAATGGCGAGACCCACCGACTTCTCTGAGCGCTCCTGCGGCGTCAGGGGAAGAGCAGCAAAGGCTGTAAAGCCAGGATGAGGTCCAGTTCAGAATCCTCCCTGAAAGCCCCGGAGCCCCAGCGTGCGCTGTCACATTCCCTGTGGTCGTGACCTCTTGCAGCCCCAGGAATGACTGAACCAAGAGGTCTTTTCTTGAAATGATTAAACCCCCACCCTGCCTTTCTACGCAACAGGCCTGCATCCGGGGCTTTTTGGTCCGACGCCGATTCCAGAGCCTTCCAGTTGAGTATGAATCGATTGTACAAGAGATCGAGGGAGACCTGGGCACACTTCAGTGGAGTGCAGGCTGGATTCCCAGGCCCCATTTTCTCCCAAAGGTATCACACAACCCAGGGGGAGAGAGGAGGGGAGGGACCTGGACAGGGGATTCAAGAGAATGGTAGAACCCACTCTTCTGATGACAAACCTCTGTCACTGGACAAGGCAGCAGACTTGCTTCCTCACACCCCATTCCTTAATACTACCAAATGTCTGTTCGTCCCTGGTGCCCAGGTTCATAGAGAGCTTTATCCATAGGGCTCTCAGACCTCTGTGATATCTCAGAAGGCAAAATCCCATCGCTCTTGGAAAGGAGGAGAGAAAGTGTCAAGTCCAGGGCAGGAACTGCGGAACCACTTCCGCTTTAAAAAGCCTGAGGAAAAGGTCATCTGGGAGGAGATGGCACTGAAGAAGACAGGAGAGAGCTCAGCAAACTCTGGAAGTCTTTGCAGAGCTGACAGCTCCTGGCTTCAGGTTGAGCACAGCAATAAAACCAGGTATCCCAGCCAAGAGGAGACCAGAGACACATCAAGGATGGAGAACCCAGGTACCTCTCTGACTAGATCAAGGGAAAGCCCCGACCCTCTCTGTGCCCTAGGCTCCCCATCTGGAAAGTTAAAGGAATGTGTTAGATAAGCTGCAGCCCCTTCTTCCTCTCTCTGCCTGGTTGGGGGAGACATGGGTGGGCAGCAAGGGGTCCAATTCTCCTTTTTTTCTCTCCTTCAAAGAAGCCACAAGGGCAGGACTGTCCCACGGCCATCATGAGCTCCAGGAGCTCCAGTATCACCGAAGCCATTTGGCCATGGAACTACTATGGTTACAACAGGCCATCAACAGCCGTAAGGAGGTAGGTGCTAACTGGGGACTCTCTGGGTAGGGGTTAGGGAGACTCCTCCCACTGTCCTCAGGCCTGCATGGTGCAGTATCTCTTCTCTCCCAACAGTACCTAATTCTCAGACAAACACTGACATCCCCAGAAGCAGCCCAGACCAGAGATGAGCTCAGCCTGTGCCCAGACCATGGAAAACAGGCCTGTGAGAAGGTGTGGTCACAACCAAGCCCACTGCTGGAAGACAGGACCACTGGAGAGCTAGACCTTCCAGATGACTCCTGTCAGAAGGGCAAATCACAACCCTATAAGTCCCCAGAAAGTCTGGGTACTACCAACAAAACCACTGCTGGGGCTAAAGGCAGGGAACCATGTCATGGGAAGGCTGGGCCTCGCCGACTTATACCATCAGATAGCCAGGCTGGAGGGGACAGATTGACCAAAAGGCCAGATCACAAGAGGACAGACCTTTAAAGATACCTTCTTGTAGCAGATGAAACTTCTGGAGGACCAGACCTCTAGGGCCCTCAAACATAGAACCCCCTGTTCTGGAAATGCCAGGGCACAGCTGCCTACACTTGGTGAAGACCCAGATGTCGAGGACAAGTCTCTCAGAAAGCCAAACCACAAAGAGCCTGACTGTCAAATATCCAGGCCACAAGAGTTGGACCTATCAGAGGACCACATCATTTGGAATGGGACTTCAGCAGGGCCAGAGCATGACCTGGTCACCTGGACCTCAGGAGGACTAAATCACCCAAAGCACAGACACCCTGTGATAGAAACTCGGGAGACAGAATGTCCAATGAGCCTAGTCACAAAGAATGGAAAAACCACAGAAGTGCACTTTGGAGGTCAAGGCTGCCTGAGAATCTGTCTTCCATGGGATTAGAGGAGATAAGAGAGGACCAGTGGAAGGGCAGACCATTGAAACAGGACCCTCAGGCTAGACCCTGGGGAGCCAGGAAATGAACAGGTTCTAAGTGGGGACACTGAAAGGGCAATGGAGAAGGCAAGCCCTCATCCTGCTAACAGCTCTAGCCAGTGGTGGCTGGCGGGACCGAGAGGCTGACGTAGAGAGCTGGCAGTAGAGGAAGAAGACAAAGGATACCCTTTGTCCTCTCCCTGTGGCGCAATCCAAATTTCAGGTCAAGCAGTTACCTGGGGAAAGTAAAGTGGGAGGCCTGGGGAATAAAGGTTTTTCTTGGATTCTGAGCCTGGCTGCTTTCATATCCTGCCTCTGGCCTCACCTATTCACTTCCTACTAGCTAGCATGGGGCATCATCATCATGGCTGAGAAGCAGATTTAGCCATCTTAGGGAACAGACCCGAAGCTAATCGCCCCTAGAGCTCAAACTGTTGGAGTTCCGAGTGGCTAAGGCTCTGGAGAGTACTGAGACATCTGTGTTTAAATGGAATCTCTGTGCCAAGGCATGGTGGCATACACCTATAGTCCCAGCACTTGAGAGGCTGAGGTAGGAGGACTGCTGCAAGTTTGAGAGGTCATCCTGGGCTATATGGTGAGTCCAAGACCAGCTTTAACTAATGGTGAGCCCGAGTTCAAAAAAAGGGATCGCTGCTACTCCCTCTCATTAAGTTACCAGAGGCTCTGCCTGCCTTCCTGGTTGAAAGAGCAGGACTCCACTTCTGGCATGCCTCCCAGCCCGGCCTTAAGTTGCCTGGCAACAGTTCCGCGTCTCAGACTGAGGAGACACTATGGCAGCAGCCAAGAGGGTTGTGGTGTACCGGAATGGGGACCCCTTCTCCCCAGGCCACCAGCTGGTGGTAACCCAACGCCGTTTCCCCACCATGGAGGCCTTCCTTTATGAGGTGACGTCAGCTGTGGAGGCCCCGCTGGCCGTACGTGCCCTCTACACACCTTGTGATGGCCACCCTGTCACTGACCTGGCAGACCTGCAGAATGGAGGGCAGTATGTGGCTGCTGGCTTTGAACGATTCCACAAACTCCAGTGAGTTGGGTAGGGCTGGTCAAAGAGCCTAGGGATACTGGGTGTGGTGGTTCATGCCAGTAATCCCAGCATTTGGGAGGCAGAGGCAGGAGGATTGCTGTGAGTTCAAGGCCAGTCTGAGCTACATAGTGTGTTCAGGGCCAGCCTGAACTATAAAGTAAGACGCTATCTCAAAAACAAAAACAAAAAAGCCTAGGGAGAGGGCAAGGAGCAGTAGCAATAGTATATATCCCGTGTAAGTGCCACTTTTTTCTTTAACTTTGGGGTGTGTTCATTTTCACTAGTTAGAAGGGGAAACTGAAAAACCTGCCTGCCTGAGTCCATCAGCAACAGTTGAGCTGCAATTCAGACTTTTTTTTTGGTATTGGGGATCAAACTCAGGACCTTGCACTAGCTTGCAAGGCAAGTAAGGTGCTGCTGAGCCAAATCCCTGCCCGCCCCACTTTTTTTTGAGACAAGGCCTTGCAGTAGTCCAGGCTGGCCTTGAACGGCAATGACCCTCCTTGTCCCAAGTGCTGAGATTACAGGCAGGCACCACCACAACCAGCTCAGATCAAATTGTTTGGTACTAACATTTAAACTCATCACAGCCAGTGTCTGCCTGTGAGAAGGAAGCCATTCTGCAGGTTGAACTTTTTCCCAAAAGCTCTTGATTAATCCCCTACCACCACCAGTCTCAATCTGTCACTTCCCTTTCTCTGTTTACATTTCCCAAACTCTGCTGTCAATCTAGGATCAATTCCACTTGATGGGCCTGTCTGGCCTGGTGGGAGGAGTCCAGATTGACTGTGCTTCCGATTTAGATCTGATATCCAAGGCCTACTGTGAGCTTTCAACTAAGGTTGCTTACTACGATGTTAAAAGCAAGAGCTCAGCAGCCAGTGTGGTGGCGCATGCCTGTACTCCCAGCATTTGTGAGGCTGAGGCAGGAGGATGGCCACAAGTTCGAGGCCAGCCTGAATTACGGAGTGAGGGGGGAGAGGGGGGAGCAAAAAAACAAGGGCTCAGGAGCTAGACAGATTTAGAGTCTGGGCTTGGTCACTTACTGTGTGACCTTAGGCAAGTTCTGTGAGTCTGACAAAATGCAGATAAAGCCACCTATTTTGTTGGGGATTTGGCTGAGTGGTAGAGCACTCGTTTGGCATGTGTGAGCCCCTTTGTTCATCCTTAGTACAGCCCCCCCAAACTGCCAAAACCACCTAATAAATGAGGATGTTCCTAGGATATGGGACACTTAATGTACTCATTTCTCTCAACCTTATCTCTGAGACTCCAGTGCTAAGGCAGGTCCAAGTGCTAGCATCTGTTTCTGGACTGAGAAGAGGGATGCCTAGTAAGCCCTACACTTTGGCAGCTAGTGGGCTCCCCTTGACCTGTGATCTGTCTGTTCTTTCAGCTATTTACCCCCTAGAGGGAAGGATCCAGGTGAGAAGAGCAACAGACTACAAGTGAGTCTCAGGAGGTTGTCCCCAGCCTTTCTGACCTCGCACCCCTCTGCCAGTTTCATGGGGAGTACTCTGCACACCCACCCAAGGCTGCTGCTATCCTTCCTGGTTTGGGATGTCAAGATACTATCTCCTGCCTCTGCCAGCCTTTCGTTTTCTTCCCAAAGGAGAAGTCCTTGGTCCTTAAAGGAGAGGAAGTTTTGAAAGGTGAAAGGTGTGGCCAGTCACCCTTGCCCCTTTTCCTGCCCAGATCTGGTTCCTGCCTGCTCATCCCACACTCCTTAAACTGACCCACCCCTAACCAAAGGCCTCAGCTGTCTCCTGATTTGAGGTCCTGACTTGGTGTTTCAGGACTCTTCCATGACTCACCAACGTGATGGGACCCTTGGACAGTGGCTACCTGCAGGTGCCCCCTGCTATATCTAGTGAGTGCCAGTGTCAGGGAGTAGGGGTGTAGATTTCTGTTTCAGGGACACAAGAAAATGGGGATGAGTTTGTCCCATGGTTATGGGTGGGATGATAAGCCCAAGATGCCTTATGTGTAAAAAGGGACCAGTACTCCCTCTCACGTTTGGAGTGTCCTGGGGACCCTACTTACCAGGTTGCTCTTTTGTCTTAGTGTGTTCCGGAATGGGGACCTGCTAAGTCCCCCATTCAGTCTGAAACTGTCCCAGGCTGCTACTCAGGACTGGGAAACCATGTTGAAACTCCTGAGTGAGAAAGTCAAGTTGCAGAGTGGGGCTGTGCACAAGTGAGTACGGGAACTAGATGGGCCCAAAAGTTCCCAAAGAGGCTCCCCACTGGTGTCAGCTGTTCATGAAGATGGCACTAGGAAAGAATGTCCCCTCCAGGGACTTGTGGCTGTGCCACAGGGAGAGTCCCCTTTAGCCCAGCCCTTTAAGCAAGGGCAGAATCTGGGTGACAGGTACTCAAAAGTGTTGGAGTCAGGGGTGCCTTGGAGTAGCAAGTACCCTCTTGTCACTGCCTGCTGAGTATGAAGAAGCATCTTGTCCACCAGCCCTTACTGTGCTCACCTTTGCCCCAGACTCTGCACCCTGGAGGGGCTCCCACTGTCAGCAGGAGAGGCTCTGGTGAGTGGCCATTACTATGTGGCTGTTGGAGAGGATGACTTCAAAGCCCTCCCCTATCTGGAGCTGCTGGTACCCAGCCCCTCCCTGCCCAGGGGCTGTTGGTATGTATGTGGGAGGTGCGGGGTTACAGGCCTGAGATGACCTCTGGTCTGCATGCCCTGATTCCCTAACATCCTCTGCTCACTACAAGCCTTTCCTCCTCTTATTGTAGGTACCCCCCAGACCGGAAACACAAACCTGGAGGGCAGGGGGTAGGTGATGGCAGGGGGCTGTGGGGTGGGAAGAGGAGTGACTGAGAATTCTGATAGCTTGGGCTCTGACCTTATCTCTGTATCTTCTCAATAATCATGTGAAACAGTATCCCCATTTTCCAGAGGTGGAAACTGAAGCTCAAAAGAGTAATTTGTTTAGGGCGGCACAGGTATAGAGTGCCACAGGCCAGACCAAAACTATGATCTTCAGGATGGAGTTATAGAGCCTATGGGAGCACCCAAGGGATCTCAACTTACCATCCTGTTCCAGGCCTGCAGGGTTGGGGTGTGGGTCAGTGGTTGAGCACCTGCCAGCCCAACATGTGGGAGGTGCTGGTTTAGTTCCCAGCACCAAAAACAAAACAAAACACAGGCGGTCCGGGATTTAGCTCAGTGGTGCCACCGCCCGCCTCACAAGGGCAAGGTCCCAAATTCTATCCATGGTACCAAAAAAACAAAAAAAAAACAAAAAACAAAACAACCCACAGGCTAGGTGAGGTGGCACCTGCCTTTAACCATAGGTACTCATGAAGGTAAGGCAGGAGAATTGGCAATTTAGCAAGACCCCATCTCAATTTTAAAAAGGGGTGAGGGATGTGCTCAGTGTGAAGGTCTTGGGTTCAATCCCCAATACCACACATATCAAATACAACACAAATAACCAGGCCTGAGCCCCGCTGGCCTCCCAAGAGATGAACCAGTGAACATGGGGCACTGGGGTGGGGGCCATAGTCCGGCTTCATTGACATCATCAAGTCAGGCACCAGCTGTTCTGTGCCTGGACAGTCTGGAGGATGCGACTCTGAAGACAAATGGCACTGCCTCTCCTAAGCTCCCTTGGGCATCAGGGCATAGGGAATAGGACAGGTGTGAAGAGCCAGCTACCACAGTCCAAGCCCACTGTTCTTCTGAAGGCCCAGGACCACATGGCACAGGCAAGCCAGCCCTCTCCAAAGGAGCCAGAACAAAATGCGCCATCGGCTTTGTATGCCAGACCCCAGCAGGGCATTCAGACAAGAAGCAAGCTCCCCACTCTGTCACTTCCATCAGGCAAGGGGCTCTGGGGCCATGGCCTCTCAGGTACAACCACCACCACCTTTTTTGTATATGTGCTGGGAACTGAACCCAGGCCCTTATGCATGCTAGGCAGGTGTTCCACCTCAGCTACCCGGGGGCAGTGACCCAGGCTGGTCACTGTCGTGGTTGGGGAGGTTTGTAGAGTTAGAATGTCCGGGCACAAAGCTGGCTCCGACCTCTGTAGAACTGTCTCCTACTCCCCCGTGTGCATGTCCAATCCCTTGCTTCTTCATACAGACTTGTCATGTGGACTGGGGGTGGAATTTACAGGGCTGTCATCTGATGAGGTAGTGGGGAGTGCAGAACAAGGCTGGACAGGGGAAGGGGCTGCTAGAAAAAGTCAAGGGAAGAAGGCTGAGGGCTCCACACTGGGCATCAGCATCAGCTAGTATCACCTCCCTCATCAGGAGGTAAGGCAGCATCCCGGGCTCGCCATCCAAGGAAGGAGATGGCAGGAGCCCAGGAAGTGGCAGACAGTGAAGACACCCGGAAAGAGGAGCCCTTGGATGAGGTAAGTTGTTGGCTCAGGAAGCCATACGCACAGATGGGGAGAGTTCTGAGTTAGACAGAAACTGGCAGTCCCCAGGGACAGGGTCCTGTCCTGTCCTTCTACCTCCAGCCCTGTGACTGACCATAAGCAGATCTAACATCTCGGAGCCCAGCTTGCTACCTTGTTCAATGAGGGATCAGTTCCCAATGTAGCCAGTCTTTTCCTTTCCTGGCTGGGCAGCAGGATGGGCACAGGCACAGCTCCTTCCTCCATGCTTCTCTACTTCTTCTAGAGGGCAGCACAGACAGCAGAAGAGGCCATGCCCTCGGAACACCAGCCTGAGGCTGGGGCTAGGGCTACATCCTCAGCCTTAATCTCTGCTCCACCATCTTGAGAGCTGAAAGTGCCAGTCAGAAACCAGGGCTCCACTAGGTAACCAAATTTTGTCCTCAGCATCTAGCAGCCTGTTCTCGAGGAGTCACGCTTCCCCTGGGCTCACAAGGGATGTGGCCACCTCAGCCCCTCCCCATCCTTCTGCTCCTGAGCCCACAGCCCAGATCTCCCTTCCTCTCAGCACAGCAGCCTGAGCTGTAAAGGCTTTCCTAATGGGATTCTCTGGGCACAGGAAGTAGTAGTTGAATGAGCTTGGTAGAGAGGCCAAGCTATATGATACTGGGTTTGTCAAAATTAAAAAAAAAAAAAAATCTACTAACCTCAGTCTGTACAGTGCAGATTTATTGAAGGCTTCTACTGGCCAGATGTTGCACCGGTGCTGCATTAATTACATGGTCCTGGGGCTCACAGCTCTCTGTCTGAGGGGTTGGCAGTTGAGCATTTTCACCTACCCTGAGGGGGACAGACAGCTCATTTCTCCTATCTGCCATTCTGACGCACAGTCTTACCCTCAGTTCTACCCCTCAGTCAGCCAAGTCACCATGACTGAGCCCTGGAGTGTCTGGGTCCCATTTCTGACTCAGTGACTACAGGTGGTCCTTTCCATGCAGGAGGGCTCTGCACTCCATGGGACCCGCCACTATGGTAGTCGAGCAGGCCAGGTTAATAGTGGCTGGGTGATGGTGGTCTGAGATGTCCACAGGAAGCTGCTGGGTGGAGAGGCTCATGAGAGTGAGTGTAAAGTCTCCTGGCCTGAATCCCAGCAGCTGAACACCACTTGAAGGTTACAGAACCCCATCATTGATCTCTTATTGTGATGCTTGAGGTAGCTATTCTTTCCAGAAGAGACGAGGAAGCTGGGCTCAGAGAGGGCTGGTCCATCTGCTCACTACCTGCACCTCATGCCCATGGGCTTCCTGGAGACAGCAGAGGTGGAGGTGGGGTCGGTCCGTTCAAAAGGTAGATGGTTGTCCTTGGGTCTTGCTCACTGAGCTCGTGATGCAGAGTGTAATTCCTGTCACGGTGAGCACCATGCCAGCAACTTCTCCTGGGATAATGGGCAGACATCAAGGGGCTTTGAGCCCAGCCATGCTAGTAGCAGAAGCTGGTTCGAGACCAGGGGAAGCACTCACATGGGGCCTGCCCCTGATTCACCCCAGCCTCTGTCCCCAGACTCTCACCCATGGGAAATGGAAGCTTCTGAGAAAAAACTAACCCAGGCATAGGGAGACCCAAGCAGCTGCTTCCTGAACTCAACAGTAGCCTGACTTACGTTTTCCACCAACGTCTTCTCCAAGGAGCTTCCCAACAATCAATGTGAAGACAATGGCCAGAGAGTTACAGATGGGCACAGCCAGAGTCAGATCTGGTAGTGAGAATGAGAACCCTGAGATGCAAAAAATGCCTTTCCAGGTACAAAACATTTTCACTTCATCCCTTCAGAAAGGTATCGGTGACCCCATTTTCCAGATGTGACAGCAAAGCTCAGGACTGAACCCCAGGTCTCCTGACTCAAGTTCAGTGTTTCCACAGGATTCCAGCACGAAGACCTGAACATGAGGTCTGGGACCTTCTTGGTATGATAGTAAGAATGAGAACTCTGTGCTCTATGAGAACTGCTCTAAGATTTCAAGGCCATCTGGACAGATAGGCTGGCATCCCAAGCTCAAGGGACACAGCAGAATGAGTACAACAATGCCAAGCATAGCTGTTTATTAAGTCTGTACTGGGTGTTAGGTGCTTTATACACATATTTAATTTTTTTTGTTTGTTTTTTTGAGACAGGGTCTCACTATGTAGTTGAGACTGACCTAGAACTCACTATGTAGCCCAGGCTGGTCTCGAACTCATAGTGATCCTCCTGCCTCAGCCTTCCGAGTGCTGGGATTAAAGGCATGCGCCACCACACCCAGCTTACATATTTAATTTTTATAAGAAAATTGCAAGGAGATCATAAAGGAAACAAAGGCTCAAAAAAAAAAAAAATCACATAACTTGACACAAATTGAGGTGTTTTTGTTTTCTGTACCAGGAACTGAACTCAGGACCTTGTACTTGCCAGGCAGATGAGGCACCACTGAGCTAAATCCCCAGACCTGAAATTGATGGCTTAAACCAAGGTCTGGCTGGGCATGGTGGTGCAGGCCTTTAATCTCCACACTTGGGAGGCTGAGGCAAGAGAGTTGCCATGAGTTTGAGGCCCGTCTAGGTGACACAGTGAGTACAAGGCCAGCTTAAACTATGTAGCAAGACCCTGTCTCAAAAAACAAACAAACACAGAGCCAGGGATTTAGCTCAGTGGCATTACACCTGCTGTCCAAGCTCAAAGTCATGAGGTCCCATCCTGTACCAAAACAAAACAAAACACCCTATCAAGGTCTACCTCACTCTAAAGCCTATTCCCTTACTCAACTAACTGGATATGAACAACAAAGAACATCAGGTAAAACATATTTTGTTTCTATTTCAGCTCAGGTTCTGATCTTTATGGAGTTAAAGAGAAGAGAAATAAAAATTTCCAAAGTAGGAGGCTAGGTACCTGTTTAAGACTTAGGGCTGGGCTTCAAGTATAGGTCACCGAAGCCCAGGATCTGTTTCTTAGTTCTGAAGCTCCAAGGGACTAATTTTTCAATATGCAAACTAAAAGAAATGGACTAATGGCATTAACCACACAGTTATTACAAAAAACAAACAAACAAACAGAATTGTATACTTTGATTTATCAAAGACAGGCATGGTGGTACATGCCTGTAGTCTCAGAACTCTGGAAGGCTGAGGCAAGAGGATCACAAATTTGAGTTTAGCCAAGGAAAATTAGCAAGACCTTATCTCAAATAAAACATTTGTTTTGTTTTGTTTTTTTTGTTTGTTTTTTTGAGACAGGGTCTCACTACATAGTTTAGACTGACCTGGAACTCACTATGTAACCCAGGCTGGTCTTGAACTCACAGCAATCCTCCTGCCTCAGCTTCATGTGCTGGGATTATAGGTGTGCGCCACCACGCCCGGCTTATCAAATAAGACATTTTAGGGCCAGGGATTTAGCTCAGTGATTCGCCACCTGCCTGCAAACCAAGGACTCAAATTTCCCCAAAAAAAAAAAAAAAAAAAAAAAAACATTTTTTTTAAAGGGATACGAGGGCTGGGGATTTAGCTCAGCTACTTATCTACAATGAGACTTGTAACTACAGGCAGACATGCTCTCGGGCTTTATCTACTGGGGTAGAGAAGAAGGGAATGGTCTTGTCCTTTATCCCCTCCATGCCTCCAGCATGGCTGCCATTATGCATCCAACAGAATGACACAACACTCCTACCTACTCAGAGCAGTTTTCTTAACTTCACACCTCCCATGGAATGTGAGGCTGTTAAGAACTGGTTTGCAACAGCAGGTAGGGGAGCAAAGAGCAGGGTGGAATGGAGGAGCAAAGCATTGCTTTCCTGTGTAATTGTGGTTTAATCACTCAAACTTGATGAGCCTGTTTCAGTATACATAAAACAGTGATGGCAAACTAGCACCTCCTTGTAGGGCTGTTGTGAGGTGATCTATGATAACATATATAGAAGTCCTTGGTTGAACTAGATGCTTAATAAACAGTGAATACTTTATTAGAAAAGAAGGATATTAAAGGACAGAGACAAGAGTAGGTGATAACATGATCCAAACATTGCAATTTTCTCAAAACTTGGTAAGTGACTAGCTATAGTGCATTCATTAGGCCAGAGGCTTTCAAACTTTTCTGGTAGCACTGAGGACTGACTCTAGAGGATCATACATGCCAGGCACTGAGCTACATCCTCAGCCTTTTATTTTTTACTTAAAGAAGGGTCTCGAAAAAAAAGAAGGGTCTCACTAAGTTTCTATGCTGGCCCAAACTTTGGATTCTCCTGCCTTGGTTTCCTGAATAGCTGTGATTACAGGCATGCATCACCATACCCAGCTTCAAATTCTTTAAATTCTTTTTTCTTTTTTGGTACTGGGGATTGAACTTGGGCCCTTGTGCTTGCAAGGCAGCTGGCAGAACCACTGAGCTAAATCCCCAGTCCTCAAATTCTTATGCGAAGCCGCAAATGTAAATCACAGGAAAGCAGAGAGACTGGTTGAAACTAAGGTGTCAGATCTGGAGGCCATCTTGTCCCCTTGCCTTCCCATGGCTTCTGAGGTGTTCCCCAGAGCTATCTGGAGCCCAAACTTCTGTCAGATCCCCTGAGGGTCTTGATTCCAGGGGAGGCAAAATCAGAGGGGAACTTTCATATTAAAGTTTAAAAAGCATAAACTTTTTTTTGGTTTATTTTTATTTTTTTGAAGCAGTCTCACTGTGGAGCCCAGCCTGGCCTCAAACTGGCAGAGATCCTCCTGCCTCAGCCCCCTGAGTGCTGGAATTACAGGTGTGCACCACTATGCTTAGCTCAAGAGCATAAATTTAAAAATCCTTTTGACTGACTCAAGAGAGATGAAGTGAAATTTTCTAAGTTCCTTTTGTGTGTGTGTGTGTGTGTGTGTGTGTGTCTGTGTGTGTGGTACTGGGGAATGAACTCAGGGGACTGAATATTGAGCTACATCTCGAGCCCCTTTTATTCTTTGAGTCAGGGTCTTATTAAGTCACTATATTACCCAGGCTGGGCTCAACCTTCAATCCTCCTGCCTCAGCCTCCAGAGTGCTTGGATTACGGGCCTCTATGCCTGTAAATTCATCTCTTAAATGAAGATACCTGTGCTTCACAGGGTAATAATGGGAATTAAATAAAATATGTAAAACTAGCACAGTATCTGATACAGTCGAGACAGTCAACAAACATGGGGAGAAAAATATGTGGGGAGAAAAGAAATTTATAGCACTGCTACTGTGTGCCAGGTACTCTACTAGTTGCTTCTCATATACTGCATTTAATCTGACTCTATAAAGTCAAAGTTCAAAAAATGGGTTTGCTCTAGGTCAGGTAGGCAGCATACAGTGTAAGCTAAAGTATCAAAGCCAGCACATTGTGCAGTGAAATGAGTCTTTGCTGCTGCACAAGACTGGCAGATTCCAGATCAGCCTGGCATCATACTCAACCCGCCCAGTGTGCCCTTGTGACTCAGAAAAGACAGTACAAAGAAGGAGCCAAGGCCGTGGATGAGCACTCTACTCAGTGGTAGAGTGCTTATATAGCATGGACAAGAATCTAGATTTGATCCTCAGCATGGAAAACAAAACAAAGCATAAAGAGGGAAACCGGAAACGAGTACAGGTGCTCTCTTACTGACAGAAACAAGGTGATTCAGGCTCCCTCTCCAAAACGAGAGTAGCTTAAAGCCAGAGACCCACCTGTTGATGCCAAGGTGAGGTAGTAGAGAAGGGAGCCACTCTGGTTGAGTAGAAAGGGCATCAGGTACTGGAAACAGGAGAAACAAGTAAATGTGATCGCTTGACTGAGCAACACTGCCTTCTTTGAGCTTCAAGCATATGCCTTTCTTTGGAGGGAGAAGTTTTAAGTGAGTGTCCAGGGAACACTAAGCCCTCTCAGAAGACCCTGAGAAACTGATCGAAGACCACCTTTAACGCCCTCTCCCTCAACTCTGCTAGTTCCTACTCTTCCCATTCTATAAAACCTTGAATGCCAGTGCCAGTGTCCCCCCTCCAGGAAGCTACCCAAGTCCCCTAACTCCAGCCTGCCTCCCCTGAACTCACACGGCACTCAGCTGTCTCTCTTTCCTTGCCTTTAACCCTGCGAAGTAGCTGCATCCACGTCTGGCCTTTCCCATTAGCCTCACCTGGCAGACTTGGGATCAAAGGCAGTTGTCTTCCTCTGGAAAGGCCCTGAGCTCAGTACAACAGTTACCTTATCTAACTAGAGGGATCACAATACTAAAGTATTAAAAGTAGCCACAGATGTTGAGTTATGATCAGCTAGTGATAAGTGCTTTATGTGCCTCACTGTACTTAATTCTCGCAACTGCCTTTTTTTTTTTTTTTTTTTTTT